CGTGCACCACAGAGAGTCTCCTAACCCACATGTGTCTATGGCAAAGGTTGCTGGCCAGCGCCTAGAAAGTTGTCTTGAGACTGCTTGTGTTAGAGTCTCTCTAGGCACTTCCCTCACAGGTCTGTCAGAGGAGCTGAAAAAAAGAATGTCGGCCTGGGCCAAGATGAAGAAAGATAGTAAAGGACAACTAGTTTTAGTGGATGCAGAAGTCTTTAGAGGCAGAGTACGGGCCCTTATAGATAGTGGGGCCACCCACAGCTATATCAGTAGAAAAGCGCTGCAGAAGTTGAAGCTGAATTTGAAGGTCCAAAAGTTGGAAGACCCTATAGTCAGCATCCTCGCAGACAATCACACTATGCGAGTCGAGGATTACGTAGAGGGAGTCCAGGCCTACTTTCGCCAAGAGAAGGATGGGAAGGTAGAAAGAGTTTTCCATTCCCCGACTCTCCTGGTAGAGGACAACCTTTCGTTTGACATAGTCCTCGGAATGGAATGGGGAGAGGCGGCAGGGGCCACACTCCACTTGAGAGAGCATGAGTGTAGGCTCCCTAGTCCATCAGGCAAAGTTAAGACTGCTAGCCTGTTCCATGTGTCAGGAGTAGACAACCCCTGGCACATTGCTGTCTCAGTGCTCCCACATTCGGGCGATAAGTGAAGGAGCAATTGGAAGAGTAGGTTTTCGTAACCTATGTAAGGCTTGTCACTGAGCCTAAGGAAGAAAAACCCATGGAGCCAGTTATTGCCAAGTTGCTGGAAGAATATACAAACTTAGCTAAGCCGCCTGCAGGAGTAGTGTCGCGACCGATCCAGCATCGTATTGAGATCGAGCCTGACTGTAGAACCCCTAAGGGAGCCGTCTACAAAATGTCCCCAAGGGAGTTACAAAAGTTGCGCAAGCAGTTAGACGAGCTCCTAGAGAAGGGTTGGATTAGGCCCAGTTCGTCTTCGTTTGGAGCGCCGGTTCTTTTTGTCCCCAAGAAGGAGGGAGAGTTTAAAATGTGCATTGACTATGGGGGTCACAATGTCGTCACTGTGAAGAATGCAGAACCACTGCCCGTATAGATGATCTGTTGGATCGGGTGCAGGGTTGCAACTATTTCTCCAAGATAGATTTGAAATTTGGTTATCATCAGATAGAGGTTCATCCTGATGACCAGTATAAGACGACATTCATGACCAAATATGGGTACTACGAGATTATAGTGATGCCCTTTGGCCTAACCAATGCGCCAGCTACATTTCAGCATTGTATGAACGATCTGCTTAGGCCATGGTTAGATAGGTTCGTAGTAGTGTGTACCTAGATGATATTCTATGTTTAGTAAGACCCGGCAGGAGCATGAGGGCCATCTGAGGCAGGTTTTGGAGAAGTTGAGGGAAGCTAACTTCAAGATCAACGCGAAGAAGTGCGAGTGGGCCAAGACACAAGTTTTGTACTTGCGCCACATCTTAAATGGAGATGGCATAAAACCTGAGGACAGTAAAATAGCGGCAATTAGAGATTGGTCAACGCCCCGCACCTTGACAGAATTCCGATCGTTCCTTGGCCTAGCAAATTACTATAGGAAGTTCGTAAGGAACTTTTCTACCATCACCGCACCTCTTCGCAGGTTGGTAAGGAAAGAAGCAATCTAAGAATGGAATAGAGACTGTACGTCGGCCTTGAAGAAGTTGAAGCGGGCCTCGATAGAATATCCAGACACAAGTTTTGTACTTGGGCCGCGTCTTAGATGGAGATGGCATAAAACCTGAGGACAGTAAAATAGCGGCAATTAGAGATTGGTCAACGCCCTGCACCTTGACAGAATTCAGATCGTTCCTTGGCCTAGAAAATTACTATAGGAAGTTCGTAAGGAACTTTTCTACCATCACCGCACCTCTTCGCAGGTTGCTAAAGAAAGAAGCAATCTAGGAATGGAATAGAGACTGTACGTCGGCCTTGAAGAAGTTGAAGCGGGCCTCGATAGAATATCCAGTCCTCAAGGTAGCCGATCCATCCTTGCCTTTTGCTGTCACCACTGACGCAAGTCGGTATGGGATAGGTGTTGTCTTACAACAAGATGACGGCAATGGGTATAGACCCGCAGAGTTCATGTTTGCTAGGATGCCTTCAGAGAAGGTAGCGACATCTACCTATGAGAGGGAACTCTACGCTCTCAGGCAACCACTAGATCACTGGAAGCACCATTTGCTTAGGAGGCACTTCAAAGTATATTCAGACCACGAGACGTTGAGGTGGCTGAAGACTCATGCCAAGATGACACCTAAGCTTACTAGGTGGGCCGCAGGGATATACCAGTTCGACTTTGAGCTCAAGCCAGCTAAAGGGAAATATAATGTAGTCGTGGACGCTCTAAGTCGGAGGGCCGATTACTTTGGGGCGATAGTTCATTATCTGGACATAGGGAGAGACCTGCAACAGAGGATTAAGGAAGCCTACGTGCAGGACCCTATTTATAACAACCTCCTCGAAAGAGTCAAGGAGTCCCCAGAGTCTGAACCAGATTACCGCACTACAGACGGATTGTTATTCGAGAAGACTACTGTAGTTGATCGTTTATGCATTCCCAACAGCGAAGAGATCTGTAGTTTGATCTTAGGGGAATGTCACAATACAAAGGGAAATTTTGGTTGGCAAAAGACATTAGCCAACCTCATTCGCTCGTATACGTGGCCCGACATGAAGGCTGACTGCATAGAGTATGTACGCAGTTGTAAGGTGTGCCAACGAAACAAGACCACTACGCGAGCCCCTCTTGGTCTTCTCAGACCCTTGCCTATTCCTGCAGGACCCGGAGACTATGTCCATTGATTTCATGGATGCAGGGGTCAGAAGTTGGCATGGCAAGAGCCAAGTCATGGTGATAGTTGATAGATTTAGCAAAATATGCAGTATTTGTTCCTTTGCCTTCTGAGGCACGTACAAACTTGATAATAGAGAAATTTTTCGATCATTCGGTCAGTGAACACGACATACCATTGTCTATATTTAGTGTACCAGGTTCACTAGTCAGAATTGGCAGGAGATGTTGAGAGTCTACGGCTCTAGGTTGCTGATGTCGTCTGGCCGCCATCCAGAGACTGAAAAGATTAATAAAATCCTGCAACAAGTTCTGAGAATGTATATTAGCCCTGATCAGACTAACTGGGATGAGATGCTTCCCAAGGTAGCCAGTGCCTATAACAATAGCGTGCACTAAGAAACCTGTCGCACTCCCAATGAGCTGCATAAGTCCTTTAGACCACGTAGACCGTTTGAAGGACTGAACCGGGATCAGATTCAGAGGCTACCGCCCGATACTAGGAGTTTGCAATACAGCACGAGAGAGAGAGATTGCTTCCGTAATAAAGAACCTCGGCAAGGCCCAGCATAAGATGATAGAACAAGCCAACAAGCACTGTCGCCCGTCACAGTTCCAAGTAGGCGACTTAGTCTGGGTCAAGTCAAAGGAGTTTGCTCCTGAGGAAAACATCTCACAGAAGTTATTGCCTGCATACCGAGGACCGTGACCAGTCTTAGAAGTAAAGGGTGGAGAGGATGGACTGTCATACACAATAGAGATTCCAGCGCACCTCCACACCTACCCAGTCTTTCATGCATCAAAGTTGCTGCCTTGTACCACAAGTCAACAGTTTCCATCGCGCAGATCCATGATCCCTCCGGACATGGATGGAAGGTACGGCATTGATCGCATAGTAGGTGCAGATGTCTTTAGAACAGGAGGTAGAGGTCATCCACAGAAACAGTACAAAGTCCAGTTTTCTTATCAAGAACCGGAGGACGACTGCTGGTTCACACGAACAGAACTTCTAGAGACTGCTCATGATCTAGTCCGTGCCTATGAGAGAGATAAGAAAGGCAAAGGTCCTGGCTTTGACTGAAGTATTCTCGGAGGAACTCGAATTTAGGCCGGCGGAAGTGAAACGGTTTTCACCTTTGCAGTGGCAGATGCAGATCCCAGGGCTCGATCCCTAGATCACCCTGAACCCGTGTACAGTACTCAATAGACCCCTGTGTGTTTGAACCCGCGACCTGTGTGTTAGTAGTTGACTGTTGTCTGTCATAGGTCTGTTTAGTTATCAGGACTCGAACCGTAGGTCTGTCGGGTCATAGTTGTGTAGGGTCCGTAGCTGTTGCACATCTGAAAGATCAAGGTCGTAGCCACTACAGTCCTGAAAGGTCAAGGCCGTAGTTGCTACAGGCCCGAAAGGCGAAGTCCACAGACTTTCGGAAGGTCCCGAAAGTGGCCTTTCGAGTTTGCCCACGTTCCACCTTGCTGAGTCAGCGGTACCCAGTCCCAGTCTCAATTAGTCCTGTCAGCAAGTACCATGTGGGACTGTGTGCACCATGGGCCCGGTGGAAAGGAGCAGACCAGCAGCCAGCCGAAGTACAAATCAAGAGGCAGTGTCCATTCATTCATTCATTGCTGCATGAGCCATGCGGAAGGGCCGCCTAGGCGACTTGTGCGAGGTGGTCTGCAGATAGCCGAAGTCGAAGTGGGCTAAGGAAGGAGAAAGAGTGTCCATAGTCAGTAGTAGCAAGCGGCCATAGCCGCCATAGGTTAGAAGTTAGTGTTTTAGTGAGAGAGTGAGTGTGTGTGGGACATCCAGGGCGATCCGGAGTTAAGTGCGTGTAAACAGTTGATGTGAACTCTGACTTGTTGTGCGAAGTCAAGGCGCTCAGTCGCCATAGCCAACCTGAAGCAAGTTTGTGTCGGAATCGTGTGGGCGCCAAGCGCCAGTGTGATTTGCCATCTGTTTGCATGCATGCAAATTGAGAAGAAAGCGAGTCTGATTGCACTACCGGCCCAAGTAAAGTAAAAGCTTGAGAAGGTCCCCGTTGGATTTCAAACCAGAGACCTGGTTCCCATTAGCTAGAAAAAAGTCCAAGTACACAGGCTGTTTCTATTTTTAGTAACTTTTGTTCAGTGAAAAATTCAAAATGAGTGAAATGACGGAATTGTTCGAAGTATTGCAAATCTCTTACGGGATCCACGAACCTTAACGAAGATGCCATTGCACTGTGAAAAGGACCATTTATTCCTGGAAAAAAAAAGAAAGAAACAAGTTAAACCACAAACACACAAACAAACAAAAACAAAAACAAAAAAAAGAACGACAACAAAAACAAAAACAAAAACAGGTGAGCTGCTAAGAAGAAAGAGTGAGCACAGAGGCGTACAAGAAAGACAACAACGATGGACCAAGTGAAATGTCGGAGTAAAGAAGAAGTCTAAAAAAAGTATTTACCGGAATGGGTAACACAGGAGTCTAGATGTAAAATGAGATTTTGATAAAAAATTAAAAATGATACAAGATTATATTCTACTAGATGACCCGTTGCGGCTTCGCCCGCAAAAACAGAAAAGGAAAAAAAGCACAAAAGAAAGAAAAAGCATAAGGAACTCCCCTATCATATGCCGCCAAGCCTTTTTTTCCCTTTATCTTTGAGTGTTTTGTTTGGGGAGCCATTACCTTCGCAGCATCATTTTCGTTTTGTGATGTGCAAGAACTCTGCACTTTTCTGAGAAAATCCTGTCCATTGTCCCGTTGATGTTTTTGCAGCTAAACATTCAGATTCAGACTTTGTTTGCTGTGTTCTCTGGATATGTTTGTGATCCATCTTGCATGTATGCATGCCCCGTGCTTACTTGTTGAGTTTTTACGCTATGTGCGCAAGTGCATGCGTGTGTGGCTGAGTCTCACTTTGGTGGGCTCGGATGATGCCATTGACGATTGGCCCGGGGAAGTTGAAGGAAGTCGGCTCCAACTATAGGAGTGACACTGATGTTAAGCAGGTTTTGCATTGTATGAATGAAACAATCACCATTCAATCTGCTTGGCAGTTGCTCTTCGGGTGGGGGACTTCTCGGGAGTAGCATTGACATGAGAGCATCTTGGAGCATTTCCGGGAAGGCAAAACACAAAGAAGAAACGAAGTAGCACGTGTCAGAGTCACATAACGGACAGCTTGGCACAGTCCCCCCCCCTTCTCTCTCTCTCACACACACACACAAAAAAAAAAAAA